TATTTTAACGGTTTTGACAGTTTTTTTATTTTATTTTATTTATAAGCTAAAATAAAACCATCCTCCGGCTTCAGCTGATCCCAGAACTTTGTGTTCAGAACCAGGTCTGGTGAGATTTTAAATTAATCCTCAGAAACCAGAGATTCATCTAAAACATTTAACCTCACCAGCCGTACGTCTTCTGCGGATTGGGCAGCGGGTCGTCGAAGAACGAGTCTCCTTCATCGTGGTCTTCCTCCTCGTCCAGGTCCAGGTCCAGCTTCAGGTCCTTCCTCAGCGCCGAGGAGGAGGAGCAGGTTTGACGCTGAGGGTCTTTCTCCGGAGAGAAGCCTCGCTCCGGCTCCTGCAGAGAAACATGAGTTCGGCTGAAACTGAAGCGAGTGAAGAAGACTCCGGGTGAGGAAGAGGAGGCGCCGCAGCCAGGTGGGTGTTTACGTTTCACAGCTGAAAGTTTCACGTTTTCCTGAACATCAGCTGAGAACACTGGGACTAAAAGCAGCAGCTGTGGAACAAACTGAGTCACGTTTGTGAGAAAACTTGGATTTTAGATTTACCCCTCCTCCTCCCTCATTTGACCCTTGCGAGCCACCGTAGACCCTGACCCACTTTGTTCCACAGCTCAAATCATGAGACAGGAAAGAGTCAAACGGCGGGTTGTGACTGTGAATCAGAGCTGGTTTCATGCAGAAGTTTCTGTTTTATAAACTCTAAAAACGACATGACGAGGCGAGGAACACGTCTGAGCTCAGATCAGATCAGAGTTAGTGAGCTGAGGGGCTTTTATTGTGATAGGAAGCGTTACGGCGTGGAGCTCCTGGTTACCTTCAGACCTGTCTGAGTCCTCGGGCCTTTGTACCTGGGGATCTGAGCAGGACACGAAGAGCAGCCGTCAGACCCAGCTCCGCCCTCAGGTTCTGTTCTGACGCTTGCTTTGGTCAGAACCTAACTGTTTCAGTCACCGTTACAAAGTCTGTTTGATGGAACCTGAACGCACCTTACTGACAGCAGGAGAGCCTGCTTTGTCTTCAGGAACCTGGTTCTGAGATTGACTGGGCTCCGAGTCCTGACCCACCTGAAAACAGATGGAAAATTCAGACAAACGGTTCAGACAGATTCGTTTTTACTGAGCTACAAACACTAAATCCTCCAGCTTAGATTTGGACACAGAGGTGGACGGTTCTTTGTCTCCAGAGAGACGCTGGTTTATTTCAGGACAAACGTTCAAATATTTCAGTGGGTTTTCAGAAACGGACCACTTCCTGACCTTCAAGATGATTCCAGTTCTGCCCCCCTGCTGAAACAAACACAGGAAACTGATCAGTGTCGCCCCCTGCTGGAATGGACCGGCTGCAGAACTCACCATCTCACCTCTGAGGGGACATTCGGTTTGTCTCCGCGCCATCCTCTTCGGACCAGCTCCAGCAGCAGCGGGGTGTTTTTATTCAGCTCCAAGTCGGGCAGACCCAGTTCCCTGCTGACCTGGTCCCGGCTGTCCAGACCACTCAGCTGATTAAAAATAAATTATTTTATCAACAGTTTTTTTTTTATCTGAGCAGAAAGAGTCAAACATGGAGGTTATGCAAACAGGAAGTGGCAGAAATCAGACAGGAAATACAAACTAAGAAGGTTTCATACTTATCGGTCCGATATCATAACAAACAGAACTGATAATATATGGTCATGTTTGTCAGCGCGACGATGAGAATGTGTGTTTATTTTTATCCTTTTTGGTCAAGCCGCTTCCCGTCACGACCCGAGCAACGTTCAAGTTGCGTCGCAAGAAACTACTTTCTCACTAGAACAATAATTAGAATACTCCGTGCTGAAAAACAACCAAGTTTTAAGAATTATTAATATTAATTTACCAATTAACCCTGTATGTTACACACAAACTTTATAATTATAAACATTGGAACAACTACTCCCAATTTGAGAACATGTAATGTCCGTTACCTCCTGAATGCAGCAGAGTGCGTCTGCTAAAATGCTAACAACAACAAGCTAACATTCAAGAACTCATCGGGACTTAAATCATTGCTGAAGCTTTGGACAAATCTAATAAAATAACCAGAGAGGACGCAGATCTCAAGCACTTTAATTCTTTAATTATGGAAATTATGACAAGCAGCCGTTCATCCTCACTAAAGACCGAAGCTTTTATCTTCGTGTTAGCCACGGTTTGCCATCGTTGGCCACGGTTTGCCATCGTTGGCCTCGGTTTGCCATCGTTGGCCTCGGTTTGCCATCGTTGGCCTCGGTTTGCCATCGTTGGCCTCGGTTTGCCATCGTTGGCCACGGTTTGCCATCGTTGGCCACGGTTTGCCATCGTTGGCCACGGTTTGCCATCGTTCGTTGGCCACGGTTTGCCATCGTTCGT